ACCTCTCTGCTCCTATGATGCTGCTTGGCCTGCTTTGTTCATCCAGCCCTCTACCTACCAGGAGCACTGGTGTGAAAGGCAGCATTGTCAGAACTGATGCAACAAGGATGGATAAACTGGGTGAATGGACTGGGGAGTCCTTATAGGAAACAGATTGAGATGAAGCATAATCCAGAGAACTATGGGAGTCAATTGCTCAATAACAGATATCAGTCCATGGGCTATCACAGGAAAAGATGATAGTGAGGTCAAAGAAGTCAGAGGGGCCATGTGAATGTGAAAGAGGGGCAGAAATTTGGAGTCAAGATAATGACATTAAAAAATGATTAACGGTATCCTAACTGGATGCAGAGCTGTATGAATAAGAATTTGATGACATCTATCCAAAGTGAGAAAGGACATGCCTGAGAAACTGAATTAAAGGAGTGGCAAATTCAGTCAAAAAGCCCCCAATATATTAACTGCATTATATGAACCCTATGTAAGCAAAATACATTGTGGATATGAGGTGGTGACCTAAGAAAGAAACTTTACTCTGTGCTACGAAATTACCCCCATACTGCAAAGATTGAGAGTACCACGTAGTAAACAAAAGAGCCCACTCACCTTATAATATTTCAATAAAACATTAGGTGTGGTATATGAGTAATTTATTACATTAAAAAGGAGAGATTCACTGGCGTGCTGTCCCAATGTTTTATGGAATACAAGTTGATCAGTATTTCAGCAAAAACTCAAAAAAGACCTGTATACAATTTACATTTCAAATTACTTCCACGGTACATCATTAAAGAGATTTCTGTGTCAGCCATTGTTACAATATATAAGGCAATATGACCTTTTAAATATGTGAGGAACTTATCAATTGAAATCCACATTCAGGTAGAATTTGACAATGAGCAGTCAATGCTGACTGCCATGTACATATGCTCATCATGCGAAAGCCAGCTTCTGACAGGTTCATTATTTAGATAAAAATAAAATATGCCGAGGTGGATTATTATAGTCCACACTTGCTATAAATAGATTATGTAAGCAGCTGTCCACTCATTGCCTAATTGCATTGAGAGTTTCATCTGACATCCATGTTTAAACAGATGAACACTCAAACGCAGCTTTACCTGAGTATTCAAATTAAGTATTAAAAAGATTTTGTTTATATCATTTATTTATCAGGATCATTTGTGTCCATTATTTATCTGGAAATGTTTCAATTCACAATATGACAACATTCAGATAAATATTTAGAAAATCAGGAAAAAAAACTACGGTTCCAAGACTCAGTTCAATTTTAATTTTTGAAGCCAATTGATTTTCCATATATTCCATAACAAAAAGTGAACACTTCATTTAAAGAGGTAAAACAAATGACTGTGGATGCTGGAAATCTGAAAAACAAAGGGAAAATGCTGGAGAAACTCAGTAGGAATGGCAGCATCTGTGGCGAGTGAAGCAGAATTAATGTTTCAAATCAAGTATGACTGTTCTGAATAAGAGTCGCAGTGGACTTACAATATTACTGATTCTCTCTCCACCGATGCTGCCAGACCTGCAGTTTTTCTCAACATATTCTCTATTTGTTCCTCATTTAAAGATGATCCAAACAGTATCCACAACATTAAATAAAACATGCTATCATCATTTTAAGGTGAAGTACAATTAGGCAGTAACAGATATAACTGAGCATTGTTTTGCAGAAGTCATTATGGTATTTTACCAACTTAAAAATGTAAGAGCAAAGATACAGGAGCAGGAGTCAGGCATTTCACCCACAAGTCTTGTCAGCATTCAGTAAAATCATGGCTCTTCTAACAGTGCCTTACTGTCACTTCCCTGTCTGGGTTCACAACCCAAAACCCCCGATTAAATGAAACTTGAATACGTTCACTGACCGCAAGTTGAATGATTAATGACACTTAAAAGGAGAAATTCTTCATCTATATCTTAAATTGGAGACCCTGTGTCTTGAAACTATGCTCCTGAGCTCTACTTTCCACCACAAGGGGAAACATTCTTTTAGCACTTGCCCTTCTATTCCTCTGACAGCCCTATAAGTTTCAATGAGATCACCTTCTCATTCTTCTGAGCTCCAAGTAGTGTGGGTTCAACTTGTAATACATTCCTGATAAGACAGTTTCTTCTCTGGAATTAAGGCAGTGACCCTACCTGCCTGCTAATATGAATAACTTCAAGTAAAAATAATGCTCACATGAAATCCACTAAACAGATTTTACAGCGTGCCAAAAAGTGAGGTACAATCTGGTGTGATCTTACATTTAAAGATCAGTTTTATAGCATGGTGCGAATCATATGGGGAATAGGAAGTTAAAAACTACAGCACAGATTAATGAGGATGCAGATTTTTGAAGTATACACACACACACACACACACACACACACACACACACACACACACACACACACGCCATTTTGCCACATACATTTGCTTATTAAAAACTAATACCAGGCAGGCAATGATTACCATTGTTGACACATGTAACGCACTGCTTGTATAATAGTCAGAGCTTACCTGAACAGAACTGTTACCAAAAGTACATTATGTAAATATGTTGAAATTGTGTTCCTAAACACTCAATGCAACTGTTGCATGTTTAACTCCGACCACAAGAATAAATAGCAAGTTAAAAAAGGGAATTGAAAGGGATAGAGAAAGTGAGTCACATTGGACAGCATGTGCACAGAGCCCTAAAGGTGGCAGGACAAGTAAATAAAGAAGTAAAGAAGTCATATGGCATACTTTTCTTTATAGGGCAACATATTAAATTCAAATGCAGGGATTTAATGTTGGACCTATACAAGACATAGGTTAGGCCACAGGTGAAATTTTGTGTACAATTCTGGCCACATTAGGAGGAAAAATACAATTGCTGTAGCAACATTCAGAGGAGATTTACAACAACATTGCCAGGGTTTGAAATTGCAGCTACAAAGGAAAGCTTGGATAGTCAAGGGTTGTTTTACTCAGAACAGAAAAAGCAGGTGCCTTAATTGTGGTGTACAAAATAATGAGGGGCTTGGATAGTGTGGACAGTAAAGACCACTTTCCCTTAGCACAGAGGTCAATTATCAGGGTGTGCAGATTTAAAGCAATTGGCAGAAGGATTATAGGGAGCATAAAGAAAACTCTCTCACAAGAATGTGGTGGTGGAAATCTGGAGTTCACTGCCCAATTTAATGGATGAGACAGAGATTCTCATGAACCTAGTTCTGCACCTGAAGTCCTGTAACCTGCAATTTCAGGTGTTTCGAGTACAATTAGAATTAGTGGCTACTTTATTCAGCAGGCACAAACACAATGGGCTACTGATTGAAAATAAAAACAAAATAGGAACAAAAAAAAAAGAGGGAGGGTGCAGGCAGAACAGGGTTTGCAGTCTGAAACTGTCATACACTGTGTTGACCCCAAGCTTCCAATGGCCATCAATTTCATTCTCCATTTCGTTCTCATGCTGACATCTCTGTCCTTGGTCTGCTGAACTGTTCCAGTGACGCTCAATGAAAAGTTGTGGAATAGCAGTCAAGGGTCAATAACAAGGGGGCATAATTTTAAAGTGAAAGGCAGGAGGTTTAGAGGGATTGGAGGAAAAAGATTTTCACAGAGTGGTTGGTGCTCTAGAATTCAACATGTTCAGAGGAAGGGTCAGTGAACCCAAAACATTAACTCTACTTTCTTGCCACAGACTCACTGAGGTTTATTCTATTTTTGTTTCTGATTTCCAGCAGTCAGTCAGAGTTCTTTGGTTTATTGTGCTCTAGAATGCACTGCCTTGGAGGGTAGCTATGGTGGGAAACCTCAACTTTAGAAAAATACTTGGATGAGGAACTGAAATGTCACAACATTCAAGGCTATGGGCCTAGTGTGGGAGAACGGGATTAGTGTGGGAAAACGGGATTAGTGTGGGAAAACGGGATT